ACACACACACACACACAGGATCATGAACCAACATGTCCTGCAGCCTGCAGTGTTTCTCCTTACAGATTGAACATGTTGTTACCAGTCTCAAAACCAGTGTTAATAATACAGCGGTATAACTGCTGGGTGGATCCACAAATAAATGATCCAATGAGACTAAATGTCACTGAGGTGGTGTTCACATGTGTTTGTACATTATAACTGTACACACAGTCTCGATACCAGTCCTACCCAGCCCCCATGTTTCTGTGTGTCAGGTAACTTGTGGTTGAACAAACACCATTTCATTTTGGAATCTGCACCATGTTGCCCAAACTGAAACTTGATGCTGTGCTCGGGTCAAAAGGAAACACCTATTGTTCTGTATTGTTAAGATGCATAATGGTGAATCCCAAGTTCCCATAACTGACTGATTTCCTGCACAGAGTATCACTCTGTCCGCCATGCTCAGATTATGACAGATAATCCATAATGAGGGGTCCTACCACATTTATACCAAAATACTGCATGGGATTAGCATAAAGGGTGTATGGTCTCTAAAGGGAGAACTTGTGGGTACCCATAGAACCCCATTTTCATTTAGATATCTTGAGGTCAGAGGTTTTGGAAGGGAGGCTAAATAACAGCTCCAGACATGCTATATGGAGTTACATAACACTCTTTTTACATAACACTCTTTTTTTTTAACTGCTTAGCTCTAAAACAATAAAGGTCTATAAACTACATTACATATGGCCGCTCTACCTTAGTAAATACTGTGCTAATACCTGTTAGTACAATAACACACAACCAACTGCCACACAGTGAATCTAGGCTAGGTGTGCCTTGTGTTACTTATGAATCCTACTTGTGTTAAATCTTCACCGACTCAACCATAGATGTATTAACACCATAAGTTGATGATCAAAGAATTGTGGGAGTGGAGAAGTGTAGTGGCTAAGAGCCTTACAGTCAACTATCAACATGACAATCCCTGTTCATTGTTAACGCCAAATATTCATAAAGCCTTCATTGTGAATC